TAATTTGAATAATTCTCTCTTGCTCGGATGCTTTTTCCAACCTCTCCATCATCCCCAAGGCAGGTGAATGTGGAGGATGACCTTTTGTTCACAGTGGTGGGGGGCGAAGCTGTGAAAGCACAGAGCCAGCTGCACTCACGTCCTGCCTGAACGCTCAAAGCCTCAGCAGCTGCCTATCACTGATGACACCAGCACTGTTCCTCCCGAGGTGGGACGCTGGTGGCCGCTCCTGTACTGCCGTGCCAACCGTGAGGCTCTGATGAAGCCTCTCCATCCGGGACCAGCGGCCACCCTTCTAAACAGTCACCTGGCATGACAGGCTGGGGCACATTGCAGGGCCTGTGCGTGGCTTCTCCTCCTCCTCCAGACACATCACCTCTCCAGGTTTCCCTGGGTAAAGTGAGTGTAAGGATGAGGCTTTTGCCTGGTCTGTTGGGGCTTAAAGCTCCTCGAGCAGGGACTGTCCAAGCTTTGTCAGCATGGGCAGAGCAGAAATGATCCCCATTTTTAGGAAGGTGCCATCGGCTCTGGGCACTGCTGTCGCAGGTGCTGTGAGCGGTGGGGATGGGGTTAATGTAAAGGTTTATGTGAGAGCCACCACGATGTGGGGGAGGTTTCCTGTGCCGCACGTTTTATTGTTACTGCATTGTGATTGAACTATGAAATTCCTTGTGTTTGGCAACATAATGCCTCTTATGGGCTTTGGGACTCATGATTTTATTTCTCTTCCGTAGTTAATAAACAGTAAAAGTAGAACAAAGCTTTGCTGCTCCCATGCCCTTCTGCTTGGTCCCTCCAAACCATCTCCAGCAGAGGCTGGCGCAGCTTCGGGACTGGGGGGTGCTTACCTGTGAGCCCCCCCAACTCTGCTGGTGTTAACGGCAGAAAACAGACACACAGGAGAGGATTGGGTGAACCCGGGTCCTGTGGTGCTGGGCCTGTCGAGTGGGCATGGGGGGTGATGGGGGCTCTCCTTCCTGGTGCTGCGAGGTGGGGACACCATATGCAAAGCACCCAGCACTGGCTCTGTGAACGCATTAAGCAGCTGATGCCGGTTGGCAACAAGTTTGCATGGAAAGATGAGAAGAGGCAAATCCTTTGAAAAGAAGCCCTTTTGTTTTATTAGGAAAAAATACTTAGTGCTCTGTGCTGGCCCGGTCAGGGGAACCTGGAGCCTGTGTGTGCAGTCCAGGCAGGGGAACCTCTGCTCCGCTTTGCCTCGTATAAGTGGGGAGGGTGACACCCTGCCTTTCCTCACTGTATATTTATTTTTATTGCAACTGAAGAGCAGTTTATTTTAACCCCCATGGTGCAGATAGATTCTGAGAGTGTGCTGTGGTGTGTGGACAGGCTCCTGCAGGTCCTGGTGCAGGAGGTTATCGGAGGGGTGGTGGGTGCACAGGTGAACAGCTTGTGCTGCTCTGCTGGGAACCGGAGTGGATCTGATGCCATCAAAATACACATAGAAAAAGAAATGCCCTGCCTGCAAGAGCAGCTGGAGTGCCCAGGGTGAGCGTGGAGTCAGAGCAAAACAGGGCAGCCCTGGAAAAAGAACAGCTCGATGCTCTGGTATGTGCTTCATCCTCAGTTTTCATGGCAGTCACCTGTGGAAGGTGAATTTTCACTTGCAGGACTGTCTTGCCCAGCTGAACCAGCCCAGTGTGTTCTTGTGGCTTGCAAGGGGCTGTGGTGGTCTCCAGGGCCGTTTGGGACCTCCTGCCATGTTGGTAGAGGAGGGACCATCCTGGGTAAAGCTGCCTTGGTGTGATTCATGGCACATCCTCCAGAGGAGGTGGCAAGGCTGAATCAGCAGTGCTGGAGGACGTGTGTGGGCGCGTGAACGGCTCCTGGTCCCATGTTTTCTCTGGCATCTTCCTTCCTTCCTTGTGCCCTCCCGCCTTCATGAGGTGCTGGAGGGATAATTCAGCTCAATGTGCTGCTGAGCAAATGGGACAGAGCTCCCAACTCTTTTATTTGAGCTGGAGCTCATTTCTGGTGAGCATGGTGAGGCTGGCTGGAGCCTCCGTGGCTCCATTGGAGCCTCATCTCTGTGCCGTGAAGGTCCTGAGCACATAGGGACAGGGCTGGGCTGTGCTGTCTGCTGATGGGCCTCGTTTTGGGACCCTCAGCTTGAGGGGTTTGTCACAGCTAATGAGTGTATTTAGCTTTGCACATCATTAGTTTCTCTCACAGCGTGTAGAGGCTCCTGGGGAAGCTGGGCTGAGCCAAGGCACAGGATGGCAGCAAACGCCGTCTGCCGAAATCTCGGCGGTGGCACACTGCTGCCAGGAGAGCTGAAATGCAGCCGAAAGCTGAATTTCCTTCCTAATTGTGGTGAGGGTGGGGAGGCCCTTTCCCTGCTCTCCCTTCTTTCCTGCGCATGGGTGCCCCAGTGGGAATTGGGGATGGGGTGGTGCAGGGCCCTGGGGTGGCACAGCTCTCCCAGCTGTCCCCTGTCCCATGTGGTGCCACAGGGGCACCAGGACACGGAGCCATGAAAAGAGATTTGGAGACATTGTGCTGACTGCAAAGTGAACATCTAAAGCACGTAAGCCCAATAAAGGGAAACGCATGCGACTTCTTTGCGTGAAACCCTGTTTTGCTTAAAGGAGGTGGCTGCGCCCCCCCGCAGCGCTGCCCTTGCCCTGTCCCGGGGACACTTGTGTAACTGGGGATCCAGTTACTGCCGCTGCTGGGCTCGGCTGCCGCCCCGGCGCTGAAGCTCTTGGTATTGCAGCGCTTCACGTCTGAGATAATGCCAAGTCTGATCTCCAAGGAGCCCTCCCTTGCAAAGGCAACAGGAGATAAGAGATGGAAAATCTGGATCGAGCAGCCATGGGCTGTCAGTGTTTCTAGGGAGTTGTGCAGCTGCTGCCATCTCCCCTCTGCAAAGGGTGAACTCTGGGTTGTGCCCTGGATTAGTGGGGTTACCAAATCCCCTGTGGGAGGGCACAGCGTCTCCAGGCTGGTATCCCCAGCTGAGGTGGGATGGGGGCAGCTCAGCTTTGCTGAACCTTTTCCCATTCCAGCCACCTCATTGGAAGCCAAGAAATACAAATCTTTCTGCCCTGGATACCAGAGCTAAATTAGGGACCTGGGCAGCGTTACCACATGCACCCAAATGTTCCCGTGACCGGAGCAACACTTGTCACGGCAGGATGTCACCCGTTGGTGGTTTCATTGCTGTGGCTGAGCAGGGAGCAGGAGGGGAAGCTATCGGTTGCTGCCTGCAGAGCAGAAATTGGTGGAACTGCTGCCCTTGCCCTGCCAGGACCCGGAGCAAATGGGGTGCAGGGAGCTGGTGCTTTGCACTGAGGGCAGGACAGAGGTGGCGTGGGTGCGATGGGTGATGCTGGGCCTGAGGGTTGCTTCTGCTGTGGTTTGGGCATCGCCGCATCCCCCTGCGTAAGGCCATGGTAATGGCCTTCCCCATGCATCCTCATTGCATCCAGCCTCCAGCTCTCTGTCAACGCTGCTGCCACTGGGAACATTTCCTAAATGGACCACATAACTTTCCCTTAATGAGGCTTAATCAGCCAGCCGAGCAACCCCTCCATCCCGGCTTGCAGGAGGGCTGGATGTGCGCCTGGATGCAGCCGGGGGTTTGGGGAGTGCGGGGGCCGCTGTTTGCTCGCCTGCGGGTGCCTGAGTACAAAAGCAAACGTCAGGGCTGTGCTGGTACAGGTAATGGAGGCTGCTGCCTCCTTCTTCGTTAGAAATACATTTAAGCTCCTTTAAAAGCTCTCCGAGTGACCTCTTAAAATTGGATATATATTTCTGTACATCTCCTGTTTGTCTTGCACAGAATGATGTTAACAGTCTGCTTCCTGCTGTTCAATTTTCCCAGTGCGTAATTACAAATTGGTTTGGTGTTTTTCTTCCCCCTCTTCAGCTTCCTGGCTCCCCACGCTGGGCTGCTCAGAGCAGAGCTGCAAATAACCAAGCTTTTCTCCAGGCCCCTTCCCTGCCTGCGTGGCTACTGGGGAGTGGCGCTGCGCTTGCTTATGGCTGCAGCAGGATCTGGTTTTTAGGGTAATTATGTGATGAGCTATTCAGCCTCCTTTAGCCTCTGTGGCCGAGGGGTCCTGGTCACAGACTGGGCACCGTTTTGGGTCCTGCCAGGCCAGCGAAGCATCCAGGGGCTGATGCTCCTCCACTTGCTGGCTGGGTGCTCTCCTTTGCCGAGCATCCCCAGAGGCAAGAAGTTCATTTCTGTGTCTGTCTTGGTAAAATGAGCAAACCCGCTGCCTCCTGCCAATGCACACTGGGGTGGGATGCATTTCCATGTGCTCCTGTCGAGGTGCAGAGCTGCTCTGGGACGTTTCACTGAGCCCAGCTCCAAGAGCTGCTGGAGACAGGAAGGAAAATGAATATGCTCAAGATAGAGACGTTTGTTGCTCTATATTTAGGAGTAATAATAATTAAGGTTGTTTATCCTGACATACATGGTAATTAATAGTCTGTGGCAGAGGAGCAAATCCTTGCTGCACCTGGGAACTATGAGTTGTCTCTGGGAGGGGCCAAGGCCTCATTAAAAAGCTGCTGCTGCCTGTGAGAAAAGCTGCTATTCAGGGAATATTTGGCTGTTTGCTTTGTCCCCTCCCCAGGTGCATGTGGCTGGGTGCTGGTGGCCTCTGAGGCTATGGTGAGGGTGCTCCTGCACCCACCTGTGTGTACGGGCACAGAGCGGGAGGGTGCTGCTGGTCCCACAGAGCGTGAGGCTGATGTACAGGGATGGGTGAGCAATGGGGGCCTGCAAAGGGGAGGGCGAGGATGCTCGGTGGCACCCAGGGGTGGGTACCAGTGTGCAGAAGTTGGCTCATAAATGCAATAGGACGTCCTGTTTTTTGGTGGCACAGGCTGGGCAGTGAGGAGGCATCTCGGAGGGCACAGAAGTGACAAACTTGGAAGGGAGGGCAAGAAGGGGACGAGGCCGGGCGGCTTCCTTTTTCACTAGATGGGGATGGAGGCATTGCACAGAGCGCGCTGGAGCTCGCGCGATGCCGCACGCAGAGAGCGTCCACGCTTGGCCTTCGCACCTGCGTCCTCTCGGGGTGGGTGCTGTGCCTGCAGCCTGGCTCTCCCAGGGGTATCGGGGCTGACGGGGTCTCACTTGTCTCGCAGATGCTGCAGGACTGCCCCAAGGCCCGCAGGGAAGTGGAGCTGCACTGGAGGGCATCGCAGTGTGCGCACATCGTCCGCATCATGGACGTCTACGAGAACCTCTACCAGGGAAGAAAGTGTCTGCTTATCGTCATGGAGTGGTGAGTCCTGGGTGGCGTTGCCATGGGTGGGCTCTCCCTGCAGGAGCACCCACAGCCCCATGGGGTGAGCACCTTCCTATACCGCTGTTGGGTGCTGGGGACCCTAGGGGATGCAGCCTGTGAGCCATAGGGGGACCCCAGGGGATGCGGGCCCTGGACAAGGCACTGCAGGGCTGGCGTTGGAGAGACGTCGGGGCCGCGCGGGCTTTGAGTCATTCTGAAAATGTGCTTGGCTGTCGGGAGCCTTCAGGCCTGTGGTTCTCGCTGCAGAGAGAACGTAACCAAACTCGCTTTGGCCACTGATTGCAGGGGTAGTTCAGTGGGTTCCCAACAGCACCGCAGCCTGTGGTGGGGTCTGCTGGGCAGCTGCACCGAGCTGATGCATCTGTGGACGCCTTTGCACCGCCTGCAGCAGCAGTTGAGCGGCTCTGGTTGGGGCAGACGTTTGATATAACCTGGGGAGGAGGAGGAATGAAGGGGAAAGTATTGAAACCACATCCCAACCGCAGCTGTGATTTGATGCAGCTTTCTTGCCAAAACCTCTCCTCTGGCAAGCCGGTCGGTTGCCCTGGGGGGGCAGTGGGGGTGAGGAGCGCAGTGCCCGCCTGAGCTGCTCTTGTGTGGGAAGAAGCTCCTGAGAACAGCACCGGGTGCTGGACAGCTGGGCAGGGGAATGGTTCGTGCTCGTGTGGGAAGAAAGCAGCAGCTGAGTGGTAGGAGATGCGTCCCTGGGGTGGTGACAGCTCCCGCTGCGCAACTCTGCGAGAGTTCCCCACTGTGCGAGGGATGCTCAGGGTGTAATGCCCATCACGAGGCAGTGTTTGACCCTTGGCGTGAGCACGGTGTCTCCTCGCCTGGACCTGGCAGCTGCGCACGATTGGTATTGCAGATGTCCAGCAAACGTCAAGGAGATGCTATCTGCGCTGGGAAAGCCTGGAGCCATTTCTGCTCGAGTTAGATAAGGCAGGAACAGGAAGCGCTGTTATATCCCTGTTCTCACAGAGAACTACCCCTGATCTCACCCCTGATCTCTCTGGGAGCCAAGATTTTCCTTAGGGTACCCAGGGAGGAGACCACATCAAGGTTTCCATGCTCTTTCTCCAGTGCTGCACGTGACGGCTTGCTCTGCTACAGTGGGGTTCAGTCCCTGCCTCCCCATCCCATTGCTGAGCCCGTGTTGGTGCTGCTGACACCTCGCCCGTGCTGTGATCTTTGCTCAGCACTTCTGACGGGGTTAGCGCACCGGCGAGGGGGTTGGCTTGCAAGCAAAATGAGGCCAAGCATGATGGGGGTGTGCTCGCCACGTTCGAGCCATGTTTGATGTCTTTACTGTAAATGTGTTTCTGTGGGCTGGTGGGGAGACCACGTCCGCTTGCACCCGGCGTCTCTGCCACCAGCCCTGCTCATTTCTGGAAGGAGGAGGCTCTGAAACGCCCGTGCCCAGAAGCACCGAGCGAAGGGCTGGGGTGGAGAAGGGACTTGTTTCTTTCAGAGCATCAGAGATTTTGGTACTGCTTGTGCCAGGGCATGAGATGGGCAGAGCAGCATCTAATGCCTCCTGCTTCTCTTCCAGCTTGGATGGTGGGGAACTCTTCAGCCGGATTCAAGACAGAGGAGACCAGGCCTTCACAGAACGGGGTATGGATCCTGTGGGGCCCTGGGGTTTCATCTTCGGGCCATTTCTGGCTGTTTGCAGGAGTGTCTTTGGTTGCACCTTTGAATCCCCATCAGGGTTTGGCTCTCAGGGAATGAGGAACATGGGTGTGAGTGGCTCTGCTTTGTGCACTCACTTGTCCATCCCCCTCCAGCACAGGCAGGAGCTGCAGTGACCTCCAGAAACACCCACCCCCCTCCAAAAAAAACAGAGACCAGGTCCCATGGTTCTCGTACATCTCGTGAATCTCATCTCCTCGATTCCTGTGTCCAGGAAAAGTGTCCACACAACCCAAACCCCAAGCCTGTTGCCCCCACATCCCGCAGGGGACAGCTTTCCCAGCTGGTTTCCCTGCAGATTTGGGGTCCTTAGTGGTGCCAGGGGCTTGGAACCAAAGCAAGTTCCTCCTTGGGGTTTTTGCAGTTGGGTTTTGGGGTCAGGGACTGATGCCTGCCCCATCCCTCCCTCCTCCAGGGAGTTTCTCTCCCATTTGCTGCAGGCTGCTGACCTGGGGGTGGGTGCTGGAGGGAGCCATGCTTGGAAAGGGGGACTTTGGGTAGGGGAAACTGCTTTGGCCTCAGCCAGGCTCTTTGGCTCCTGATCTGTAGAGTAACCCAGTGTGCTTGTTGTAATTTGCTTATAAAGGCTTGTGGTGGGGTTTTCTTTTGCTGCTTCAGAGGCATCAGAGATAATGAAGAGCATCGGGGAAGCCATCCAGTACTTGCACTCGATCAACATTGCGCACCGGGACGTGAAGGTACCGCACTGCACACCCCGCATGGCCCATGGCGATGCAAGGCTGCTCCAGGTCCTGCTCACTTCTTCCCTGTGTTTTCACAGCCGGAAAACCTCTTGTACACCTCCAAAAGGCCCAACGCTGTGCTGAAACTCACGGACTTTGGCTTTGCTAAAGAAACCACCACGCACAACTCCTTGGCCACTCCATGCTACACACCATACTACGTGGGTAAGTGCCCAAGGGGGATCTGAGCTTCCAGGTTTGCAGGGCTAGAGGGCAGAGCGGGGAGGTTTGGATGATGCCACACGCAGCCCATCACCTCTGCATCCAGCCTGGAGCCTCAGCCACAGTGGGGTGCTGAGGACAGCTCTGGTCTGGGAGGCTTGAAACTGGGGGCGGTGCTGGGTGCAGATGAGTGCTGTGCATTGAGGATGGGCCGCAACTCTGCTTTAACTGGGACTTCCGGTTTTCTCTTTACAAGCCCCGGAGGTGCTGGGCCCGGAGAAGTACGACAAGTCCTGTGATATGTGGTCGCTCGGCGTCATCATGTACATTCTGTAAGTACCCCATCTCCATCCCTGCCAAGCTCAGAAGTGGGGATGTGGCTTTCAAGCCTGTCGGCAGGCTGACAAGGCTAAGCCTTTCCCAGTTCTGCTGCTCCTGTTCCTGGCACTGCCCCATGTCCCATGGGTGCTGCTGGGGAGGGTTTTGTGGTGATGCATTGACTCTGCTACATCTCCGGGTGCAGGCTGTGCGGCTACCCCCCCTTCTACTCCAACCATGGCCTGGCCATCTCACCCGGCATGAAGAAGCGAATCCGAATGGGCCAGTACGAGTTTCCCAACCCCGAATGGTCCGAAGTGTCGGAGGAAGGTAAACATGGTCCCTGTGATGGCGTGTTCCCAGGCTGCGGTCTCCCTTTGGGGTCAGCCCTGTGTCCAGTGGCACTGCGAAGGCTGAGGGGGGCACCTGGGCACGTTGTGCGTCACCTTTTGGGGATGCAGCAGCTTCGCCTCTTTGCTTGAGAGGCTTTTGCTGAAGGCTTTGGGCAGGGTGAAGTCTGTGGCACAGTGGGGACAGGAATTTTGGGGCCACTGGCTTGGGCTGGAGCAGGGGGAGAGCCCCCCGACACCTGCTAATGCCCAATCATGCACAAACCCTTCCAGTTAAGCAACTGATCCGCAACCTGCTGAAGACGGACCCGACTCAGCGCATGACAATAACGGAGTTCATGAACCACCCCTGGATCATGGTGAGCGTAGGATGGGATGGGGATGGGGATGGGGATGGGGTTAGGGATGAGGCCCAGGCAGGGATGGGATGGGATGGGAT